CCCCAAAACCCCAAAACCCCAAAACCCCAGATTATTATTATTAAATTGAAAATGGAATCTATTGGACCAGAATCTATTCATAATCAGCCTCAAAATTTTTCGAAGAATAGCAAAAGGAATAAAAAGAGCAGAAAAAATAAGAGTAATTCTATTGTTTAAGTAAATTCAGAGAGGAAGAATTCTAAAGAGAGAAAAGTATCTAAACAAGAGTAAGATATTTATCACAAATCTAGTCAAACGAAGAAGACAGTCAAAGAGATCTGCTTTTCTTGTTTAAAGATCATTAATAATAGCTTAGAGGTATCGCACAGAAGTCATTGTATAGGATGAGAAGAATGAAGAAGGATCTAACCAAGGTATTTAGAGGCTATATTTGTAGAAGGATGCGTTTTCGATTTCGACAAAAATAACACAGCTTTGATGCAATCAGAATCTTTAGCAGAGTCTATACAATACCTTTGTGAATGGATTTTTGATATTAGGAATCTGCTCAAAAAGCCAATTATAAAGAAATTATCTAACAAAATGAAAAAGGCAATAGAAATATCCAGTGAAGAAGTTGAGAATAGATTTGTAAGAACAAATATTTGATAGTTTTAGAAACACTGAATCATGAACAATTTTAGTGTCTCTTGAAAATAATGAAAGTCCTCAGGTGAATATAATTTTTCTAATGAATTTAGGCACAACTAAGATTCAGAAATGAAACCTTGCAAGCAATAAACCTTGAAGATTTTATCAGCTCTCCAGTCTTGTACTGAATTACTCTTGCTGAGATCTACACCAAGATGTCAAAGCCAGTTCTGAATCGGGAATGAAAGCCGTTCATCTTAGGAGTCCTGTATCTTTTTAAGGTGGGCATATACTCATAATTTTAGTCATCCAAAAATATATTACAAATCGTATTGCTTGACAGCTTCGCAGACATTATTAGAAAATTGATTCAAATTCAGGTTAATCTCGTTCGAAATGCAGGATCTCATAAAGATATCAGCTTAATCTGAGTCTTATTGGAGTATTACTGAAGTGTGCTTGAAAGTGAGTAAAGAGGATTACATATAGACTACAACATTTATAAGCCAGCATCTCATTCATATCTGTCTGTAAAATATATCACACAGTTCAACATTAGTCTGATTGGAAAAATTAAATTTGCTAATTTCAAGCAATCTAGACAAGAATTTATAAACGATATGATTCAAAATCATGACATGTATCAGCCTGGACTAGCTTCATACAATGAGGAATTATGGTATACACAAAGGTTCATTTCTAGCGTTGAATTATCAAAGCTGTTAATAAGAAATAAGATTCAAATTAGTCAGATTCTCCCTGAGCTCCTTTCAATGTCTCACCTCAGTCAAGGTACTTAGGTTTTATATTTTATAGACAAAACTAATACTGAAGATCAGCGAGAGAAATATATAACTGCACTTCAAGAGATGTTTCACTTTATGTATTCAAACAACTGAACAAGCATAAATTTGCTAGAGTACAGATCTATTCTTAGTATTCTCCCCAAGATCACTCTTGCTCTCGGTTCGGATGAGGCCCTAAATGAAGTTGTAGAGGGCTTCAAAAAGTATTATTCTGATCCTGAAGACGATGGAGATGATATTTGCTCAGAGCCAAAAGTAACAGAGGCCATAACTTCAGAAGACATATTTTATAAAATAAGCACTTTCCTAGCTTCTAAGCCTAACTTAGAGATCCTTGAAGCTCATATTTCTGAAGTATCAACAGTTAGAACTCAGGGTAAGTCCTTCAAAGATGACTCGTAGCCCTTCCACTTAAAGAAAGAGATACCTTGATAAAGATGATAACTGAATGCATGTTAAGCAGCAAGATTCACAAATAAATACGGAATGTTTACAGTAGAAAATGTTGGATCAAGCGCTAATGGACTTTGGAACCCTTCTTCAGACATTGATTGTGTAATCAACTTTGAAGGTAAAGGAGTAAGGTTAACAATATAGATCCCAAAAGATCCAAGAACGTAGGTAATATTTTAATTTATTAGAAAACCCAAGATGATGTCACAAGCTTAATGAAGAATATCAGAAAATCAATCAGAGGCATATTCTATTCTATATTTTAGAATTGGCACAAGACTACCAGATACTCGGAATTTTCTTTGCAAGAGTTCCAATCCTTCAATTTGAAGCTAGGATACCTACAACTCTTGATGGTAAAAAATAATCTAAAGGTTTTAGATGGAAATCGGGGGTTTAGAAATATAAAGTGAGATATAAGTGTAAACAATCCTCTTGGAATAGCTAATTCAAGATTAATAAGACTTTACAATGAATACGATCAGAGGTGCTACCTCATAATGGTATACATAAAATATCTATTCAGTAAATCAAAAATGTCTGATGCTTCGTTTGGATATCTATCAAGCTACGCTCTTAACTTAATGGTGATCGGTAAAATGACTTCTAATGTATAGCCTATCTACAAAGTTGTGATCCTCCAGTATTACCTAATCTTCAAGATCCGATCTACAAACAGAGCTATAAGAACTTAAAAGTGTGAGCAAGACAGTAATCTTCTTCATAAAATATAGAAAATAAAAGGGATAAAAAGTTCTTAGTTAAGACCTATACTGTTTCTTTCTGTGAAGATCTACTCAAAGAGGTAATCTTAAGCATAGGTTTTGCACTAGGATATTCATTTTTATACAGTCGAAGAGTTATTCATTGGTTTAGGTAAAGCCAAAATTTAAATCTGAGAATACTTGCTCAGTATCAGAATTACTCATTCAGATCTTGTGCTTCTACTTCATAAAACCTCCTCAGAAGAGGAGCTATGATTTTATGAACTCTAACAGTTCAAAAATATTGGATATATATAATCCGAGAGAAATGGTTGTTGATATCCGCTCAGGAGGACTTGTCAAAGGTAACCCTATAAATTATTTTTAGATAAATCAAAGGATAAAAGTAAGTGAAATTGTAAGTGTTCAGAACTTCCCATGGTGAGAATAATCGATCCCCTGAATAATGAAGGAGTAGGGCTGGGTGTTAAAAGAGATTCTGGGATTCACCTTAGCTATCAAAATTTAGTAGAACAGTTCCTAGAGAATGTAATTGAAAATTCATAGTTCAACACAACCAGTTTTATAAGGGGTTTTGGGGTTTTGGGGTTTTGGGGTTTTGGGG